GAAAGTGTGCTGACACAGGAGAAGAAACAAAAAGGTGCACAAGATATGATGTGGGTAGGAATTGCCAGCAATCAGCTGTGTTCTTCTATTCTTGTTACAATTGAGTCATCTTCAGATAGGACCCTGGAGTCAGTTGGTAAGTGCAAGACTGTGTAGCTTTCTTGGCACACGTGTCTGAAGAACACTGTGCCAGAGCAGCATCTCCCAAGCTGATGATCTGCAGAAAACTGTTCTGCAGGTTTTTTCCCTAAAACCACTGATTTTAACTGTGTGATCATGAAAAACAGAGCGATGGACCTGTATATAATTTCAGCAGACTCGGGGGTCTCCAAAACATTTCTGCTACCAGCCTATTATAGTGGCTATGATTCTATTCTTTTTTGATTCTCTTGGATCTTGATTTTGCATTAAGAGCACATCTATTCAAAAGCAAAAGAAAAAAACCAAAACACCCGCCTCCCCCAACACTTTTCTGTGTGCTGGTGGACTGAATAAGTATAACATGGAGAGAAAGGGAGGTGATAAAGAAGGTCCTGTCTCCTGAACAATTCAGTTATTTGTTTTGGTTTTTCCAAACTGGAAGATAGGTATCTCAGTCTCTACATGGGCTAAAGATACACTGTCAATTTGCAAAAATGGAGATAGAATACAGAGCATTTTCCAAGTGCGTTTAGACGGAGTGAAGGAAGGCAATCTGGAGGTAGCATTTTGGATCCCTTTAACTAGCTGCAGCACTCCTACTTTAGTAGGGCTGGAAAATGTGGGTTTGAATCTTAGTTCTAGCACCTTCTACTTTGTAGCCTGGTACAAGTAACCAATGGGTTTTTGAACCCCTTTGGCAAAATGGGAATAATGCCCTTGCCTAGGTTCAAACCCTGGCCCTACCACTTAATAGCTATGCTATTCTAGGTAACTTACTTACCTTTCCAAGTCTCAGTTTCATTACCTATAAAACAGATAACAGGACTAATCCTCATGCTATGAAAACTACAAGAGTTAATATTTGTGAAGTCCTTAAACTAGTACCAGCATATAGCAAATTCCATGTATTTGTTAAAATACATGATTTTTTATTAGAAAATAATCATGGGTTGAGAAGCTAGAACTTTTTAAAGGCATATGGACCATTTATTAGATAATAATATTAGAGCAATGTTAAAATTTCCTGAGTATGGTAATGTTATTGTGATTAGGAGGAGAATGTCCTTGTGCATGGGATACATACTGAAGTACACAGGGATAAAGTGTCACATCTGTAACTTAATCTTGAAAGATTTAGAAGTTATATATATAGATAAAGCAAATGTTATCCATTAAGTGATTGTAGGTAGAGGATATATGGGTGTTCGCAGTTTTATTTTCTCCCCCTCAATTTTTTTGTAGCTTGAAAGTTTTCTAAAATAAATATTAAAAAAATTGGGATGGGGTAGAGGGGTCTCAAGTTCATCCTTGAACTGGTTTGCCCTGCCCCCAAACCCTGACAAGTAAGCATTTTTACTACATACCTTCTGTATCTTTCCAATGTTTCTTATAAGTACATTAAAAATACATTTTAATGTAAATATTAAAAACTTAAAAATACATTAAAAAATGTATTGCTTCTATGTTCAAAAACACACAGTTCAAAATAGCCCAACTGTATCAACCCACCATCTAGACAAGATTACTTTAGCCTCCAGGATCTAAATCCACACAGCTCTGCTTCTTAGAGCATTTATCACATTCCACATTGATATCTTATCTCTCTTGCTAAATTTTAAGTTCCTTGAGGGAAATAACTCCCCCATAATCTTTTTCTTTGTTTTTAAGTCTTAACACATTATCTGTTGAACAAATGAATGAATCCCAAATCCAAGGAAGGAATGAATGATCTACTAAATATGAGCTAGATTTCAATAGCTCAATGGCTCAAGAATTGTTCCCTGAGAAACTGTCCAACAGGTAACTGTATTCAAGCCATCCTGATCAATCTTTGACTCTGCTGTCATCCTCAATGTTATCATTTGTGAAATGGGGATACTAAAACATATACTTTACTAAGCTGTGAGAGTGGCATGAGTTAACTCACAAAAACACTGGGCAAAACTATCTCCATTAAGTAGATGTTCAATAAATGTTACATTTCTTTGTCATCATTAGAAGTTAACCTGAAATGTTTGGTCTATTTGGGTAAAAGTTCTCTATGAACTATTGACTCTAGTTCTTTGGGGTTATCTGCATCCAGGATGCAAAAAACTAGTCGTATCCCTAAAAGAAATGGACTTTTTGCTTTCCCCATGATTTTCTGATCAGGATCTTGAGCTTGGTTAAGAATCAAAGTTGACTCAACTGCCTTCTGGGCCAAACGGTGGTTCTAGGCCACTACTGTGTGGCTGCTAGGCCAGAGTCTTTACAGAGTGACAGTCTAGATTTCCTTTTCCTGGAAAAGCACATTGGTCCCCATTCAGGTTACCCAAGTGGCTGGATTTGTGGGTTTTCAATAGAAAAAATGCAAATGCGAAGTCAAGTGGGCCTTAGGAAGCATCACTACAAACAAAGCCAGTGGAGGTGATGGAATTCCAGTTGAGCTGTTTCAAATCCTGGAAGATGATGCTGCACAAGTGCTGCACTCAGTATGTTAGGAAATTTGGAAAACTCAGCAGTGGCCACAGGATTGGAAAAGGTCAGTTTTCATTCCAATACAAAAGAAAGGCAATGCCAAAGAATGTTCAAACTACCACACCATTGCACTCATCTCACATGTCAGCAAAGTAATGCTCAAAATTCTCCAAGCCAGGCTTCAACAGTACACGAACTGTGAACTTCCAGATGTTCAAGCTGGATTTAGAAAAGGCAGAGGAACCAGAGATCAAATTGCCAACATTTGCTGGATCATCAGAAAAGCAAGAGAGTTCCAGAAAAACATCTACTTCTACTTTACTGACTATGCCAAAGCCTTTGACTGTGTGGATCACAACAAACTGAAAATTCTGAAAGAGATGGGAATACCAGACCACCTGACCTGCCTCCCGAGAAATCTGTATGCAGGTCAAGCAGCAACAGTTAGAACTGGACATGGAACAACAGACTGGTTCCACATCAGGAAAGGAGTACCTCAAGGTTGTATACTGTCACCCTGCTTATTTAACTTATATATAAAGTACATCATGTGAAATGCCAGGCTGGAAGAAGCACAAGCTGGAATCAAGATTGCCAGGAGAAATATCAATAACCTCAGATATGCAGATGACACCACCCTTATGGCAGAAAGTGAAGAACTAAAGAGCCTCTTGATGAAAATGAAAGAGAAAAGTGAAGAAGTTGGCTTAAACTCAACATTGAGAAAGCTTAAGATCACGGCATCCAGTCCCATCACTTCATAGAAATAATATAGAACCAGCGAGAGTTTGGGAAATAATAGAAATAGCGAGAGACTTTATTTTCCTAGGATCCAAAATCACTGCAGATGGTGAGTGCAGCCATGAAATTACAAGAGGCTTGCTCCTTGGAAGAAAAGTTATGACCAACCTAGACAGCATATTAAAAAGCAGAGACATTACTTTGCCAACAAAGGTCCGTCTAGTCAAAGCTATGGTAGTTTTTCCAGTAGTTATGTATGGACGTGAGAGTTGAACTATAAATTCTTCTGAGGGCAGAAGAATTGATGCTTTTGAACTGTGGTGTTGAAGACTCTTGAGAGTCACTTGGACTGCAAGGAGATTCAACCAGTCAATCCTAAAGGAAATCAGCCCTGAATATTCACTGGAAGGACTAAAGCTGAAACTCCAATACTTTGGCCACCTGATGCAAAGAACTGACTTCTAGAGTCAAAATTCCTCTAGGCACATAGGGAGGGGGCAAGAGTGAAAAATAGAGGAAACAAGATGCCAGTGGTTAGAACAGGTTTGATTTCCTAACACCTCTCCCTCAGGCACAAGGAAAGAAAACAGGTTGTAATTAGAGAGATGCATTCCAATAGTTTTTTTTTTTAAATGCATGCCCCAGGGACAGGAGGGAGTGGTTACAGGGGAGATGGAACAGTAATGATAGCAGCATCAAGCTAAAACTGCCCTAACTTGTTGTGTGTAGTAATTACATATCTACCACGGATCTCAGCATATTCTCTCAGCCACACCCCTGCTCTAAATTTTCAGGTTTCTTCCAACTTTTCTCTGAGAAGTTGTTAATACTACAGAGTCATAAGCAGATTTCTTTGCCTTACGCAATTCCACAAAGACAGAGCACTGATGGACTGCTCAGAAATTAGTAAAATACATTCTATTTTCTTAGGCAGGGGCGTGATTTGCATCTTAAAACAAACAAACATCCTTATCAGAGACTGCCCTCTTAGCTAAGAGGCAGACCCAAAACCTCCGTGAAAAGCTGTAAGGGAAAGCTATCCTGTGGAGAGCCTAGAGGGGAAGCCTTGCAACACTTCAGAGGAGAGAAGGTCAACTAACCCCAGAGTCCTGTTCTCTGAGGCGTTGTTGGTGCAGATCAAAGGCACTGCTTTTCACTGCAAACATATGAACCTCCCCTCCTGTGATCAAGGATGCTGTGGTTTTGATGAGATTCACTTGATAAGGGTGAGCTTGGTTGTTTCATAGAAAATCGGAAGTGTTTTAGAAACTAGTTCTTGTCTGTGAAAGAGCCACTGGGCTGGGTGCTGAAATTCTGAATCCTGAATTTAAGGATCAACACAAACCTATGGAATATTATTCCTAAAGAGGACAATGTAGTAATATCTAGGAGATGACAGATAATATGCAGAAAATAGACCCAAATAAACCAAATCTACCTCAGTGCTGCAGAGTCTATCACTTCCTGTGAGAAGAATGAGAATACGTGGCAGAGGGAATCCAGGGGATCATATTACTTTGGTGTTTCTAAATACCCCTTAAACACGACAAATCTTAAGACTTGGGTTTTTAAAATTCTTTAACTCAAAATTTACTCCCCACCAAGAGAGTTTGCATCTTACCACTTGACCGAATGTTGATGAATGGGTAGTTGGGCATCACCAGCTTGTTGAAGTTAAATTTATAAGTAAACCTTTTCCCTTTTGTTTTATGAAGGATCCTCTTGTTATAATAGTATCTGGAAAAACAAGAATGCATGTCAAATCATCTTCTAGCTACTGACCGTTTTTGATATACTTAGGTAACCATGACAATCAACAGCTCTTGCTCTGAGTATTACTTGTGAACATCACTATCATTCTTTTGTAGCTTTGCCCTCAGGTTAGAGCTGGGAGACCTAAGAGCTTACTTTTCTGATTCAATTTTCAACAAGATTCTAGTACTTTACAAAGACAGTCTCTCTTTGAGATCCTGTACACCTATTCGAGCCCCAACCACCTTTCTTCTCTCTCTCTCTATGGTTTCAATTCTTTAGTCCGTTTCCTTCCTGTTCCACTACACGTCACTGCTTCATTTCTCTTTTCTGCCTTCCTCAGGTGGGGGCAGACAAATCTCTTGGGAGGCCTGATGTGGTTAGTCTGGAGGCCTAAGCTCAAGGCATAGACAAAGGAATGTAGAAATGTTTTATGGTGGCAGGTCAAATAATGGTACATTCTGAGCTGGAAAACAGTAGTCAGCTTGGCCTACTTCACTTTCAAAAGAAGTGAGAGGCTCCAGCAATGTTGCTGCTCAGATTTTACATTCAGGGTCACACAATGAAAGGGAATTTCAATGTACCTAGAACCTTGAATATGTTCAGTGGCATAGATGATACACACCCCTGGAGGGGTAAAAGGTTATGAAATATAAAGACTGACAAGGGGAAACGAGAACCTGAGAAAACTTAAGTGACCAATCCTTAGACAAGCTGGAGCAACCTGCGAGCCAACAACCCACTAAGCTCATGGGTCCCTCAGCAGTGAGGCCCACCAAGCGCTGAGCGCTCCTCTTCTGCGCCTGCTTCCCTCTTTTCCTAGTTTCTTTCAGGAGAGCCTAAAGGAGAGACATTCTAATAGATTTCCAACAGTGAAATCTAAACTAATCTTTTGGATTACCAATTAGCTCCAATCCAGGTTTCACCACACTTTCTCGCCGACTACAGAGCAGAATCGGCTGTCAGGATCCAGTGCCAGCCACGTTGGAATTCCCTCCTACATACAACCAAAGATATGCCTTTTCTCCTGTGCCACCCAGATTTAACAGCTCTTCTACTCCCACTGTAAAGCTACACATTATTCACTAGTGTAGTCTCTCATCACCTGATACCTTTTTATCTAACATGTACCAAACTACTTAAGCCTCTTTCCAATCTGTTAACACAATGGATCTGGGAGTTCTTTCCCCTACCTCAGGGCCCGGCTCAGCTTGTCGTAATTCATCTGTGGTTTGCACTTCCTGCGGCCCCAGAGGCGGGCCACCTCGTCTGGATCCTTGATGACGAATTCCCCGTACTCTCCCTGCTGCCAGGCAATGACATGGCGGAACTCCTCCTTCTGCAGCAGCTCCAGGATGAAGTGCCACAGCTGGATCTGCCGGGAGCCCGGGGACGACTCTGTTTTATAGGCCCAATCAGGAAACTGATACCCTTTAATATGAAAAGGGCAAGATCAAGGTAGTCAGGAGCTAGAAACATACATACCAGTTTCCCCAGCTTCACATTCCAACGCTCAGAATCTCTAGAGTGCTGTGCAAACATGCCATGAACACCCTTTCAGTCAATTGGGGCTAATCCTCTGCGCAGAGGAAGGCAGACAGAAGTTACCTTTCCTTGTGGCAATCATTAAATCTGATAAGAGCTGGGTAGCAGCAGCCAGGTTTCTAATCTTTTCCCCTTTCAGACTTTACTAAATCTCATGCCTACTTCCTGTGAGGACATGAAAGTTCCAAAGGGAACACACAGGAAAGACAATGTTTTAGAAAACAGCACCTTTTCCCCAAGGTTGGAATTGTTTCTCTAAGAGGAGAGAGACTTGAAAGCTTGGAAATAAGGGTGTGGTGACCACATCTGTTAACATTCATCCATAGGAAAAAGCATACAACTGTCCTAGCGGTATCTACCCTGTCAAGAGGTGGTCAGTCACAGTCTGGCATTTGTGAACCAAGCCCGAGTGAAGAGAAAAGGAACCACTGAGGGACATTCCAGGTACCTCAGAAAATGACTGATTAACTTCTGCTCACCTCCACCTCCTTCTGGCTTTTCCACGATGCTACAGCCTGCTTTCATTTTCACCCTCCTGCTGAGAGATACAAGCCACATCAATTACTTTAAGGTGTTCTGTGTTTATTATCCTCCCAAGGTTTTCTGCCACAGCCTTTTCCCAAACTTCCATTTCCTCATCTTTCCCTTCTTATGTAACCCTCTTTCAAACATGTCACTTCCAGAGTGCTAATCCTCAAGCCGTGAAATGATCCTCAGGTCATCAACTTCAAAGACCATAATTTATCTCTCACCTGACATTAAACCACAAATAGTAAACACTGTTTTTAATATTTGCTTTCTCCCTCCTGACCAATCCTTCAAACGTAAAAAAAGGAAGGGTATGGTGAAATGAGTCCAAAAAGGCAGCCAGAACAAGTCAAACAGTTTGTCTTCTATTACTAGACAGGCCTAGATGCCAAGATACACAAGCCTGAGTTCACCCAGATGTACCAGTTTAAAGAGTAAAAAAAAAAACCAAAAAAACCTCCCCCCAAAACCCCAATCCATCTGACTGCCACTCAAGAAGGAACATCTGATTTTGATTTACTTTCCTGAATTATGTGAGATGGGAAAAGGAAAACTCCTCCCAGTCAGAAACTGCCCCTTCCTCCTTGAAAAACACCCCGGGATACAGGAAGTATATACACCATATGTACAGTTACTCTATACACAAAAACTCACACTCCTCCAATTTTTCTCTGAGAAAAAAATTTACATTTTCTCCCTTTAACAGAAAGGAAAAAAGCAGCAAGCATTTTTGGGAACCTTCTGTTCAACAAGTGGAGGGAGTCTGGCTGTGATTTCAATTCATTCCATCCAGATTTACAGTTCCTTAATAAATTTCCTGCTCCTAGCAGCAAGCAGCCTGTATCAGTTACTCCTTTAGCAAAAAGCAAGGAAGAATAAAACTGCCAGAGATATGCAAGCAGGAGAAGGCAGATTTACCCTTACTCAGGCAGTTCCCCAGGGTGAATGACAGGCCCTCAGCACCAACATTAGCAGGAGTCTAGAGGGAATGTAGGTGCCTTGGTGACCCTAGGGCGGGGTGGATACAAATTCCTAATCTCGAAATTTCATCTAATCTAGGATTCCTCTAGATCCTTTGAATTTTTTTTTTCCCCTCACCATACACATTTAGAAGATCAGCAAGTTTCGGTCTAAGAAATTACCAAGGAATGAGGATGGATAAATGCCCCAAAGGAGGGAGAAAACAAACACAAACAGAAACACAAAGTTACATACACAAGATACACAATAACAAGGCTCCAGAGCTGAGGCAGGAGTTTCCTCTCCTGGCTGCTTCCATCCCCGTGACAATTAGGGAGGAAAAACACTAATTTCCCCACGACTCCAGGAAGCTGCCTTGAACGTTAACAACTAGGTTGCTCTGTCAGGTCGCAGGGTCTTTATCCTGACACGGGAATGCCTTCACTCACGACGACTCTGGGGTTCAAATCCCGCCGCAACAATGACGTGCCCAGGAAGCTCTCTCCTGACATCCTAACTCTCCGATTTCACCTATAAAGGCCTTCCTCCCAGGAGTCCGGAGGCGCCTCTTCATGCCTTTCGCAAATTCACTCCGAGGACACACTGTCGAAGTAGGGTCACTCATCTTAACTCTGCACAGCCCGGCAGGCCCCTCGCCCTCCCTCGGATTGCGACCATTCCCCATAGAGTGAGGCTTGCAGAGCCTGGTACCGCGTCCCGGCTTCCACAGCCCCCGGAGCCTCCTATCTACCTGCCTCCCGACCGGGCCTTCCTCTACCCGTGGTCTCGGGGCTCCGCGGAGCCGCCGCAAGAACGCTGCCCGGGTCCCCGTCGCCCCTAAGCCATGGGGGCCCCCTCCCTTCCCCGCCCCCGCGCAGGGGGAGGCCCAGTAGGGTTAGTACGTGGCTCTCCCCGCGGTCCCGGCAGCAGGGACGCCGTCCCCGCCGAAGCGTGGGGGTCGGCCCGGATGGGTCGGCGGCGAGGCCGAGACTCACCTCTCCCCGGCACGGTCGGTCTTCGGTCCGGTCTCCTCCGCGGCGTCTCCGGCTCCTCCTCATCCACCCCAGCAGGAAGTGACCTCCTCGGCTGCTTTCGTCACTTCCATCCTCAGCGGAGAGGGCGGGGGAGGAGGCGGCGCCCTCCCGCCGGTCTCCCAGCCGCGCCTCGCCGCACCCAGCCGCGTCTCCCTTTCCTTTCTCCTTTCCGCAGACGCTGGCTTCCGCCCGCACCCCGCCCCCGCCGCGCGCTCCTCCCGCCGCGCTGCCCGCGCAGCTTCCCCGGAGCAGCCCGTGCGTCACGCTGCGGGGGCACGTTACGCACGCTCGCGGCCGGTGGCCGGGCGGCGGGCCTGTGGTCGGCGGGACTCGTAGGGGGATGCGGCGGGTTTTCCCGCCGGTTCGGTGTGGATGAGGCTGTGCCATGGGGGCCTCACCTGTCGCCGGAGGGCACCTAGCAGCTTCCACTGGAAGGGGCCCGGCTCCGACGGAAAGCTTCCCCGAGACCACGGAGGCGGGGTGGGGGTGGGGGGGTCCTCCGTTTCTCCTTAAAAGGGGCCTGTGACCTCCCAGAGAGGAGAGCCTTCACAATGGGAAGAGACCCGCGGACCTCAGAGGGCGTTCTTTACCCTCTTAAGAAAGAGCCTTTTCAGATACTTTGAAAAGACTCCGTGAGGCTTTCTTTGAATCCTTGCTTCGGCATTTTTACTCCCTCCGCCCACCCATAAGGGGATTGTGATGTTTCTTCGCTGATCCCTGTCCCTCTGCATTTAGTCTTAATTTGTCCTCTTCTAAACAACTTGCACGTCTCCCTAAGTCATTCAAATACATCTCCCCTTTCTTTTTCTCTTTTGTTCCTGCTCAAGCAATGACAAGCATCTTGTCCAAAGCACTTTTTGTTCTTCCTTTAAGGTTCTTTAATAGTGAAGGACCTCAAACAGTTCAACATTAGCGCCATCCCTGCCCCGTATGTTTGAGTGATGTCAAGGCCTAGTTTTACCCTAAAGAAAAAAAAAGGGGGGGAGGAATGGGGATCAGTAAAGTTGAAGTGAATTGAAATGATCAGTAAGAATGTGCCAGAAGTGAAGAAGAGAAATGGAATTGAATGACACTTTGGATAAAGGAGTAAACTGTTTTGTACCGCCGTTCTAACTATATGTTTATGTCCTGAATGCCAAGAAGAACATGAAACATCACCGTTAGTTAGAAAAGTTGGCTTCCAGTTTTGGGTTTGCCACTAGCTGTTCTCTAGTTACTGTAAATTAGCTAGTAAGTTGGTCCCTTCTGGGCCTACAGTTGCCTTTTCTGTTTAAAAAGAGAATGGCGGTTGGTGATACAAGGTCTTTTCTAGTGAGAAAATCCTATGTAGGTGAATAAAATGAGACAAATTTAAGTGCCATATATAGATTACTGTAATAGGGAAGAATAGATTGCTTTAACCTTTGTGTTCTATTGCTTTTCTTCAAGTTAATCACTCAAGAAATGCTGCCTGTAGTCTTAAATTGTAAATAGTGGACCACCTCTGGGAACTGTGCCTCCCATGTAATGAGTGTTAACCTGAAGCATCTTTCTTTAGCACATAGGAAACCTCCTGACTAGGCTCTCTTGGAAATGGCTGCAGGAAGGAAGAAGTTAACACATCCTGAAATCAGGACTTTACCCCCATCCCTTTTTTTTATAAAAGAAGCATGAATTCTAACTCAGGGAAGATGGTTCTTTGGGACACTCGTCCACCATCTTCTCTGTCTTCTGGCTTTCTGAATAAAAGTTGCTTTTCCTTGCCCCAACAGCTCATCTCTTGATATATTGCCCTGTCATACTGTGAGCACTATGAACTTGGGCTTGGTAACATTTTACCAATATTTTCAGTGAGTCCCTTAAGTTCAGGAACTGTCTATATATCCTTTGTATCTTCTGCATAGTACCTAGAATAATGCTTTATATGTAGATTTAGTTAAACATTCTTTTAAAAGTATTGGAATTTGGGGAGTTCCCTGGTTGCCTAGTGGTTAGGATTCAGGCTTTCACTGCCAGGGCGCAGGTTCTCTCCCTGGTCAGGGAACTGAGATCCTGCAGCTGAGCAGTATGGGGGGAAAAAAAGGGATTTAGCTAAATGATGTAAATTGTAGGCAGGTCCTAGTGCCTTCACTGACTAGCTGTGTGATCTTGGCTAAGTTACCCAACTTCTCTATGAACATAATACCTATAGTGTCTGCTCACGTGGTTGTATTAAATGTGTTAATATATGTAGAGTGGTTAGAGAACAAAATGGCACTTTATAAATACGGCAGAGAAACAAATGTTGGTGAAAATAGTCATAAGAACCATCATAAAAATCCTCAAATTCTCATACCACCCATACAAATCTTAGTATTTGTGTCAACTCAGAACCTAGGATGAGCATCCTCCTCTGAAAGTATGAAATTGCTAACCTTTGACTCATGTCTCAAATTGTCGTGGATAAGCCAGCACTTCACCTCAAAAGATCTTACGTTCTACAAGGAGCCAGCATCAGAGTATAGGACTCTTTGCATATTCTTAGCCCAATCCCCCGGGCTTCTCTGCTGGCTCAGATGGTAAAGAAGTTGCCTGTAGTGCGGGAGACCCGGGTTCGACCTTGGGGTCAGGAAGATCCCACTGGAGAAGGGACTGGTACCCACTCTACTATTCTTGCCTTGAGGATTCCATGGACAGAGGCGCCTGGTGGGCCGCAGTCCATGAGGTCACAAAAAGTCATACATAACTGAACGACTAAGCACAAGCACATGGCCCAGTCTCCTACAGGTCCCCTGCTGCAGCTTCTCTTGCTAATTAAGGCCCCAAAGGATGACTTGAGTAAACAAAAATTAGCAGAGACAAACATGTATCTCTACCTGGCTGGAGTTTGATTTGATATATTGAGAAATGTTCATATGCCAGCAGAGGTCAGCAGAATTTTTACGTTAAGAATCTAATCACTGACCCGAAACTCAACAGGTGAATTTGGGTCTGTTTAAAGCAAACTGGAAACTCGCTAACAATTTGTGAATCCGGATAAGTGAG